AGTTTGCGGTAATCGACGCAAAATCGGAGAGTGCCGTCCTTCTTTTTTACCAGTACGACGGGGGACGACCATGGACTGTTCGAGGGTTGGATTACGCCATCTTCGAGCATCTGCTTCACTTGAGAACGTATAGCCTCTTGTTCCTTTTGTGATACTCGGTAGGCGTGTTGACGTATGGGTCGCTCAGAATGGTCAGTGACAATGCGGTGCTTTACGGTTGGCGTTTGTTTTATCTTGGATGTAGACGCGAAACAGTCGCTAAACATGCGGAGGATACAGCGGATTTGCTCTTTCTGTGCACATGACAGCTTCGGATTGACATCGACTGCATCGGTTACCGCGGTGTCACTTTCAACGGCTGCAGAAATTGGGGCTATCGTCGTACACGCTTCATCGTCAATGGATTCGAAATGAGCGATAGTTGTTCGCTTGGCCAAATGTTGGTATGATCCACTAAAATTGGTGACCAACAACTCAGTCATCCCACGTTTAAATTGAATTATGCCGCGGGCAACACAGATTTGCTGAGACAAGAGCACCGAAAGGTTGGCTTCAGCGATACCACTACTGTCATGGTCTATGTCGCCCTGTACTGTAACGAACATACTGGTGCGTGGCGGAAGTGTGACGGTGTCGTCGACAATGCGAAGCGCAGTCTTCTGCGGATTGGTATCTCTAGGCTTCGGGCCATAGTCGTCAGCAAACGTTACGAGGCAGTCTCGAAGATTTATAACAGCGCCGTGCTCACGAAGGAAATCCATGCCAAGGATTACTTTCCGGGAGCATTCGGGAAGCACAACGAAAGAAGCAACGAACGTCGACTCACAGATTTGCAGCCTTGCGGTGCATCTCCCGATTGGTGTCAAGAGATGACCACCGGCTGTCCGAAGGTTTGGTCCATGCCCCCAAGGAGTCGTGACTTTCCTGAGTTCAGCCACAAGTTCAGCGCTGATAACTGAGTAGTCGGCGCCGGTGTCGACTAGAGCAGTCACTGGATGGTTGTCGACACGAACGGCAATGTCAGCAGAAACGGGTTCGTCAGCGATGTGAGGTGTCGGCTGAAAGGAATCGTCGAAGGTCGGTGGAAGGGTCGGAGGAGGCTGTTTTGACGATAGCTTAACAGCGGTCCCACCCCCGGAGGCCGCTGATTCTAGTTTCCCCGGCGTGGACTTGGGGACCTAGCGGATCGTCCCGCAACAACATCGGCGAAAGTGGAGTATTGATTCGCGGACGTAGAGCGTCGAGGAGACGGAGAGCGTGATTGGCGTCGCTGAAGATTCGGAGACGGTAGACTTGCCAAGTATTCTGCGATGGCGCGGGGTCGTTCGCCGTCCCTGGGCCGACGAGCGTCTGGCCGAAATCCAGGTAGGCCCATCTGTCTGTACGAGCACTCCCGGTACAGGTGACCTGGCTCACCACAGTGGTAGCATAGTGGCCGATTGTCGGAAGCGCGCCACACGCTAGATTTACGCAAATTGGGTCGCGGATTCTCATAGTGTGGTGGGCCCGAGAAGTACTGCGGCATCTGCAGGCAAGTCGTTTGGTTTTCATAGCGTGGCCCGCCCGAGAAGTGCTGTGGCGTCTGCAGGCTAGTCGGTCGGGGGAAATAGCTGGCTGCCGGTGCAGGAGTACGTACAGCTTCCGCATACGTTAGCAGAGGAGCTTCGGTTGGAGGTGGCGCTAATGGTCGTACCAGCTGCCGCACCTCTTCACGGACGACGTCTGTCAGAGCAGCCACTTGAGGCTGTGAAGGCACTGCGTGAAGCTTTTGCAGCTCGTCGCGTACAATGCTACGGACTAGCTCAGCAAGGTCTCTCACGCTCGTGACATCGGGTGTTACCAAGGCTGCTGACAGACATGCAAGGTTGTCGGACCGCTCATACTGCGAAGATCGCTGTCTCAGCATTCGCTCCATTGTCGTCGCTTCACGGAGGAATTCTGCCACGGTAGCTGGTGGGTTTCGTACAAGTCCTGCAAACAGCTGCTCCTTGACACCCCGCATCAGAATGCGCACCTTTTTGTCTTCCGTCATTGCAGAATCCGCTCGACGGAACAGACGAGACATCTCCTCAACAAACATGGCCACGCTTTCATTGGGTCGTTGATTGCGAGAATTGAGGAGACGTTCGGCTTGTTCTTTCCGGTCAGCGCTACCATACGTGTTCCGCAGCTGAGTGCAAAACACCGGCCAGGTTGTCAGGGCGGCCTCGTGATTCTCGAACCAAATACGCGCCGAATCCTCCAGGTAGAAATAGACATACCGCAGTTTCCGGTGCTCGTCCCACTCGTTGGCGACGGCGACTCGATCGTATTGGTCCAGCCAGTCTTCAACGTCTTCGTAGGGCTCCCCATGGAAGGGCTTTGGCGTTCGGGAGGCTGGTAGCCATGGTGCTGGCGGAGTCGCGGACGGTTCAGTCTGGCTTGCAGTTGTCGCATATGCCATGGTTCTGGAGCGTTCCGGAAGAGGGCTGAACTGGGGTGGTAGGCCTAGTTGCCGCCGACTGCGTCGAAGGTTGGCTGTTTCTACTAAGGCGTCAATGTTGGGACCGAGATCTTCCTCGTGGTAACAGTGCATAGACTATTACCCAGCACTCCACCAGTGTCACGTTACAACGTAACTGTAACCTGCTGATAAGGGCACACAAGGACGTCAAACTGATTCGAACAACGGCAGTACGACTATTGTTTTTCTCTGCACGCGCATCTTTGTCCTCTTCTGAACAGCGGCACATACAAGCATGCTAGCATCTGTGGAAATAATAGTTTCAGAACTTGTACTCGTGGCAATATATATATATATATATATATATATATATATATATATATATATATATATATATATATATATATATATATATATATATATATATATATATATGTATCTATATATATATATAGATATATATATATATATATATATATATATATATATATGGCTTATATGCAGAAGAATAAGTTCGGTTGCCGCAAGGTTATAATATAAAAGTAGATGCGCTTTCACATAACACCTTGATTATTCAGCCGACGTTTCGACGGGGAGCCCCGACAATGATTATGCCTTGAAAAAGACGGGGCTCCCGTCGCAACATCGACTGACTAAACAAGCTCTACACTTCTTACTTTCTGGCAATGTTCTTGACATCTTACATTAAGGCACCTGCCTGTCTGACCTGCGTACTCTAGTCTCCAACACAAAGGTATTCTGTAAACAATTCTTGTTGCGCACTTAACTAACTTTTTTACGGTGCTCAATCTTGCAATCACTCCCAGTACTTCCTACGAGACTAGTTCAGACACAAATCATGCTATGCGAAATTACAATGTGAGCAATAAACTTTTCATCCGGTGAACGTGTAACGTGGTGCTTGTGTTCACAATGAAGGACGCGAACGGGATCCTGTAAACCATGAAATTTGTTATGTTGGACGTGTGTCTCATTTTATAATAGCAACAGAAGCACTAATTACATTTTTAAGGTGAATTCGTATCGATAGAGGGCTTCTACAGTGCAAATGTTTGCCTCAAAAGTTATCAGCACAGCAGCTTGAAAGCTTCTAGTCATGGCACTGATGCTACAATACAGGCTAGACTGAAAATGAAGAGTTGTTGATCGAGCGAAGGCAGGTTGACGATGGAACTGGCTACAAGTATTAAAAAATTTAGCGCTCGTAATCACCTTGTGTAAGCGATCAACCTGGTTTTAAAATGTTCTTGTTGATTTTCTCATAACTTCTTGTTCTGGTACTTTTTCCAGGCACACAGTCATAACTTTTTTGCAAAGAAACACTTGTGCATTCAAAATTCACATACTTTCTTATAAAGGTAGGAGACGTGTAATGAACTTCAGTAAGCAAAATTCTGCTAGAAGATTTACAATGGCTGGCTGTAATACAAAGATATCTCTATAGCGCCGGTGCATATTTCGGGGTATTTAGTTACCATGTTTCGAATATTTATCCGTTCTCATTCGCTTTAGTTCATAGCGCAGGCCTAAAAGTGTTTTCATGCCACTACAAAAATAAACATTCTTTCGCACGCATAATTTAAGATGGGAGCGTTGGCATAAGGCCCGCTTTCAATGACATATAAGTTAAAATTAATAAAAATGGGACTTCCTTCACTGACTCACATGTGCCAAAAAATGTGTTTCATATTAGAGAATAACCTTCTGTTATCGTCGCTTTTTAAAAAACATCCAACCATTGGCTTCATTCCTTGAGCACTGGAGAACACCTTGAAATGAAATGTTACCTGGGACGTGTTTCATGCTTTTACATTTATCCTATTCTCGTTGTAGAGCAGTTTGCGGTTTGAGTTTCGCTTTGTGGTGTATATCGCAGAAAGTAAAAAAAGATTAAGTTTCTGAAAAAATGTGTAAGAAAACATGAACAGAGAAACAACGCTCTTTAAATCAGCTGATATGAGAACTTTGTTGCAGGCCCCGTACAATGGTCAAAAGCCATTTCTATAGAACGACTAAGCGTCGTACTCTGAAGCGTACGACTCACATCTGCAGTTTGGAACGAGCCACATCAGAGCAATCACGCTGCCGATAATGTTACTTACTTGCAGTTTCCCTCTTTGTTTATCAACGCAGGCCGTGATGACTCCTTCATGTGTCAGAAGCGCGGGGAAAAAGTACGATTTCCCGGATTGGTGCATTTTATACTGCGAATTTATTCTCGGTTCGTAGTATCATATCATGCCAAGAACGGTCCACTTTTTTTTTCGCTAAACAAAACAGAAAGCCTCTGATGGCCAAATTGGCTGTTGCATGCGTGGTGACACTCATGAATAAAATATTCAAAATAAGCTCGTCGCTGGCACCGCGCATGCTAGGGTGGGGCTTGTTTATCACTGAAGATGTCGCATGTGCAGTTCGCAGCTCATTTTGCGTAGTTCTAGATATGAAAGTCGACCGCTGCACTCTCTATTGAGATGCCCCGCTCTGGCGAGTACATGATCGTGGAGACGTTATGCTGTCATATTATGTCACTTACCTAAAGTACCGCCAAGGTTTTTCCCCCGTCTAATTTTAACCAGACCTGCACTAAGAAACAAAAGAACATTTTATACGTGACTTACCACACCAATTGATTTCACTGATGTTGGTATACACAAAAAAGTATCTTTCACAGACATAAGATGTTTTTCATAAATGACAGCTATGACTACAAATAAAAAAATAATAAACACGGGGTCATTCACTTCATATTAGTTGTTTGGCTAATTAGAATTACTAGTGGTTGTGGCCTAGATGGTACGGCATGGAAAACTTTATTTAGCTCCGTCGTGGCGTGCACTAGCACACCACTGGTCCCGCCTAACCTTTCCTCCGTGTCGTGGGCCCGTTTAACTGCCCATGGTTGTGTCATTAAATCCAGACTGCGTAACACAGCATCCCACCAGGACGATGTTATGTCCTCAACCCGTAACACAGGGCACTTTGTGAGCATGTGGACTTAGCTGGCAAAATCAGGGCAGAGCGCGCATTTGTGGGATGTCTGAATTTTTGGATATATCTTGTGCAAGAGTGCGGTAACTGGGATACGCACCGACTTGCAATCACTCAACCTGATGCCAGATGCCGTATAGAGTGGACAAACCGACAAATGTACAGACAGACAGACAGACAGACAGACAGACAGACAGACAGACAGATAGATAGATAGATAGATAGATAGATAGATAGATAGATAGATAGATAGATAGATAGATAGATAGATAGAT